GGTATTTCACAATTTTCTATCGTAAATTTACTGACTTTTTTTGCAGTTTCGCCTCACGGTAGTTCCATGTAATTTCTACGGTGATGAAATGTTTTTGGATATGACGGTCAAAAACTTTTGGTCTTTTACCGTTTTTTACCGTAAATTTACTGACTTTTTTAGCAAAGGAATTACAGGTGCTTATTTTTTGCTTGACTTTATTCGTCTAGTGATTTCATTATTAAGGCTTTATTCAAATAGAGTTAAGGCCAATCTGGTTCCTTTTCCTGGCTGACTTTTTTGTCATCCAACCATCTCAGTGATATTGTAGCATCATATCACCATTAAGGTGTTTCCACACCTTCTTCCACACCAGTTTCAGCCTCACCATGGAAGAGGGAACATCAGTATCTTGATGGAGGTGTTGTGGAAGGTGATGCTGTGGAAGGATCTCCGGTAGCAGTCAGTTTTACAACAAACAAAGCCCACTGACTGAAGACTCTGGCTGTATGACAGGAACATGTTCGGGATGACACCATCATCTGTTAGCAAGCACTGTTAGCAACCACCATCAGTTTCAGCCCCACTGTGGAGCTGATCACTGTGGAGTTGCTTATAATGAGTCAGTAAGCATATATTGCAAAATTATGTCACTCATTTACCTCATCTCTACCCGCTGCAGACTTACTCTCCTAGGAACCATAGGAGTGCGCTTCTTTCTAGCTGCTACTAATAAAGAATGAGTTGTGTTTTGAGTGGTATTTCTTTGTACCTTTTTCTGATTTCCATATCTTTTAGGCAGTGTTCTGTCTGAGAGGACGTTATCATCCCCAGATCACCGGGAATTCTGGGAAAAACTGTGTGCCTTGGTGGCACGTGGTCAGGAAGGAGGCGGGGTTGATATTTTCTGCCCGCTGGCTGCATCTGGTACAACTTCTGTTTGAATTTTCAAACATTTCAATTCTTCAAGTAATTCTAAGATGTAAGCTTGTTGGACTTGTCACAGTGTCAAGACTCGCTCTGATGTGGAATCTCTCTGATCTGACTGGTCTGGAAGTTCGCGCTCCTTTGGGTTTTGCCACAGGTAGTTTCCAGAACAGTGAGTTACTCCTTAAGACGAGTTCTGCTTGTAGTTTCTTGTAGTTGGTGATGTATTTTTGGTTGGCTGCAGTCCTAAGCGAGTGGTCTGGTGGCGACCAGGACCCAGCAGCTCCAGCTCTATGCTACGTGACTGACAGCGTGCTGTTGGGCTGGTGTAGACAGGCCCAATGGATTGAAGAGGTTCTGGTCTGTCTGAGGAAGTCCCTGGAGCTGCAGCTTCAACAGGCTAGTCTACAAGCCAGATGCAGAGCTCTGGGTCAGTTCTGAGCTCAATCAGTCCACATCTTTACTTTGATTTAGCTTTAAACTCATGTCTGGTTCATTTCTAGGACTCTTCCTGTGGGAGAACATTTCCCTGGATACCCTTGGTGTGTGTGGGGAACTCAGTGAAGCGCTGACAGAAGGACTTACAGCTCTCAACAGACAGAATGAGGTGAGGACTGCTATAAGACAGGAAGGGAGGAGAAAAGACAAGGTGTAAACTTGAATCTTTATCTGTCCTCACTGCTTCAGAGCCGACCAGTTGAGTTCCTGTCCAGCTTCCTGATGAAGTGGAGCAAAGAGGATGGAGAGATGAGCCAAGGAGGTGGTTCATCATGTCCAGGTCCACCACCAGGGATACCACAGGTGTTTCCCTTCTTACACCATTCTGTTTAGATATGACCGAACAACAAATATAAACCATGTCTTATTGTTTCTTTCTTTAGACAACTTTAGATTGGAGATGTTCAGTTGGAAGAGAGCTGCTCCACAGCGAGCGCCTTTATCTGGGAAGAATGAGGGCTGTGCTGAAGGTAGAACACCAGGAAACTTTAACAACAAACACAACAAACAATGCTTCAGTTCAGAGAGTCGAAGTTGATCAGGTGAGATCATTATGATGAAGCAAAGATTGTTTGCTTCTGATCCAAAGCTTGAAACTTAGAAATGAGAACAAGTTTGATCATAGAAAATGTCCATATCTTCTGCGTTTCTGTTGTTGTTTTTTTATAAATATATTTGACAAGAATTTTAGAGTTTTGTTTCTTTTTCCTTGTTTGATTTCATTCAAAATTTAGTATTTAATATTTAAATTTGCTTACAGAATTAGTATTGCTGTTAATTAATTAATAAACTGATTAAAGAATTTGCACATTTGTTCACTTATGTTTACTTTTTTCATTTATTCAGTCATTGTTTAGTTGTGGCTCTCAGCAGTCTGGAAGTCAGAGAAATCCTACACACACGCTGTGAGTCTAAAAGCAGCTACAAGAGCCAGTTTGCTTCAGTTTGAGCACCACAGTGATATGCAGGTGTGTGTCCTCAACTGCAGATGTGCGCCATGCCTTCATCCTGGACGGGCCGCGCTGTTCGTGGGTTTGTGCGACAGAGCAGGAAGAGGAGAGGGACAACTTCCTGTCTGTGCTGCGTTTCGCTATAAGCTCCTCCCTGACAGAACATCAGTGAATTTAAGGCGAAGATATCTGCAGCATAGCACCTGACTCCCTGAATAAGGGGCTCTTCTGTACACATTTAATGAAAATATTCCCAGTCCTTCCTATAGATCGAGACAATTATGCAAATAATATGAAATCACTTCTCTTGGAGGGTGTTTGTTTTGTTTTATGTTTTAGCAGAAGATGATCATTTTTAATGATATTCACCAGCCCACACTGTCTACATTGCTTTTCTGAACCGTAATCATGTTCTGCATCAGCACCAAGATCACATGACCTAACAAATACCATATGACCAAATCCCTCTGGAAATACAAACACCATAAATAGTGTTATTAATATCAGCCCAGATTTATTATCAGACCAATATGTTAAATGACAAACGTTGGCTGATATTAATGTTTATGTATGACACATCACTACGTTTTTCCTCAGCGTCAAATGACTACATTTTTTTCATGATATTGTGTAACATTCTATTATTTCTCAACAATAAACAACTCCACATGTTTTCATTAAATGATTTAATTTTTTTTCCCAAAATATTGGATGTCAATATTTTAGTGATATTTGTAGCCAATAATGAACATTTTAATAAATAAAAAAATCCCATATGTGTGCCTCAATATTGATTGTTTTCATTATTTTCTTAGCAATGTTCAGTGATTCCATATTTTTACTCAACATTAAATTATTCCATAAATATTTCTAAGTTAGTTATTGTTGTCATTTTTATCAAATAGCCTGACATTAAACTTATCTATCTTAAATGATCAGTATTCATCCATGTTTGACTTTTAATTTCAATAAAATGTATTTTTCCACATGTTGAGGTGCAGGTAGTAAACATTTTACGCATCAAAGTATAAAAGGCTTTTATTGTAATGAAAAATAACACACGTCATATTTTAATGAAATAGCTGCATTAAAACTCATCAGTTCTGTACATTATTGCCACTCTTTCTGTGTCTGCATCTCACAAGAAAGACAAATATAAATACACATAAAAATATACATAAAATCTTTTATTTAACACAACCATATATCACGCCTTTTAATCTAATATTTTCATGTCATTGCTGTTCTCATGGACATCTTCAGATGAGTAATTCGGTTGCAGCACATAATTTTCAGTAGTTAGTGTGTTACTGGTCGAGCTAATAGAATAGAGCACAGACAGTAAACAGCTGCATGTAGCCACTGTTAGAGCGATGAAACGATGAAAATTTGGTGAAATTGAACACTTAATTCAGCACGACAGCTACATAGGTCAGTGCCGTCACAGTCTCCGGTTCAGCAGGTTTGGGCTGTTCTTCATGCGTGAGGCTGACTCTCTCCCGATTCCGGCAGCTGGCAGCGGCCCCTGGTTTATCGCCGGGTTGTTGGCGCTTTTCTGGGAGCCGAAACCCTTTGGTTTGGGGATCCGGGTCGGTCCTGGACGTCGGAATGCTTCGAGAGGTATCTGACGGAGAAACAGAGAGAATTTAGTGTGGTACTTTTTGAACAAATAAGGTGGCATACTCTAAAATGACAGGCTAAATTCTAAGCTATTTGAAGACCCATTCAAAAAGTTAGAATATTACTGAAAAGTCCATTTATGTCAGAAACTATCACTAAGTGAAACACATTATATCTGCACAACATTACGGACTCGTTCATTCGTGGCTGTTTTCACGTTTATTGCGCTGTTCATATCAGTCTCGATGTTTGCAGTTTTCTGGAGCACAACGCGAA